ACATACACACACACATACACACACACGCATACACACACACACACACACACACACATATATATATATATATATAGATATATACATACGTAAATATGGGATTAATCGCACACAGTGAGTCTCACCTTCTCTAAATATGCCACAACCGACACAACAGCGGTGACATCGTCATTGTCGTCCTCAGAGTCCTCTGCCTCGTCATTTATTGCACTGAACGGTGTCTCTATCTCCGGCGTGTTCTTGCGCCCATCGGTAGTACCAGTTGCATCGTTGGTGTCGACTACATTCTTTGCCTCATGGACGAGTGAGACTACAGACGGTGTTGTGGTGCTAGCGGCTAGCTTTCCCTCGCTGGACTCTGCGTGAAGGGTGTCGTCAATGAGGATGTTAGTTCAGTCTAAACTTCAGAGAAAAAAGGGCTATGCTCACCTGATACACACACACACACACACACACACACACACACACACATATATATATATATATGTATATACAACGATAGCTACAGTACTGGGAGATGTTCGGCCCAGCTGTGCAAAGTAATACCCTATAACCCATTGATCTCCTATGCTTGCACATAGTGAAGGACGCCGATGCCCATAGGATTGAATCAGAAAAAGATCGATTGTACCAATCGATATTCGTTCGCTGAAAAACAATAGCCCATTTCTGGTGAGTTCTAAGTGTAAACAAGTGAACATGATATGATGTCAAAGTCGAGACAGCACGTTGACGCGGTAACGCATTTTCATATACAAATATCGCCAGATATGAATACAGTACGCTCATATACAACTCCACGGTGGCTGCAGGCGCGCACTTACGATACTATTGGACTGCATATTAACAGGTACTTGAATTGAACCATTTCTTATCTTAATGTACTGACATAGACCACTTCACAACGGTTGCAGGTGCACACTTATGACACTGCACAGCACATCGCAACCATATCTCAATTATATGTACTAACATAAAATCGCTCCACGGTTGCTACAGGGCCACACTTACGATACCATTAGAGGGGGCTCTCGGTCTGTGCGTAGAGGTTTCTTTTCCATTCGCGACCTTCTCCGCAGTCGCAGAGGCATCTATGGGGCACTCGGACTCCGTCGAGTCCACCGCCACAGCCCTTCCTACAACACATGAGGATGGTCATGAGAACTGAAGGAATACATGTATGCTACCTTCCCCTTCCCCTATCTCCTTTGGCCGCGGGTGTACTAACGTATTCCCAAACGCCTCATACGACCAGTACAGCAGTGTGCACACATCGAACATCATCACACATTGACACATTGACACGTTGTCATATTGTCACAGGAGCAATCACACGCTTGATAGACTGCATCTAGCGCCCTGCATCGCAAGGCACGCAACGCAATTCTGGCGATACTTCACAGTACATCACATGCGGCAGGAAGAACCAAACACACCCCTCCCCTCACAACACAGTACACTAGCATACAATACCATGCACAGTACACTATCATACAACACCATGCACAGTACACTATCATACAAAACCATGCACAGTACACTATCATACGATACCATGCACAGTACAATATCATACAATACGATGCACAGTACACAATCATACAACACTATGCACAGTACACTATCATACAACACCATGCACAGTACACTATCATACAATACCATGCACAGTACACTATCATACAACACCATGCACAGTACACTATCATACAACACCATGCACAGTACACTATCATACAATACCATGCACACTACACTATCATACAATACCATACATTATCACACAATACCTGAGCTGGCCACATTCCCGAGGCCTGTGGGGGTATCCTTCAACAAGGGTGAGCCAAGTCGTGGTCGTGCGGTCGAGTCCACCGTCCCTACATTGCCCGTGAGGGGCACGTTACTTCCTCTAGCCCTGAACCTGTGTACTGGGATGTGGTGGTGGTCGAGAGATGAGTCATCCTCAGATGCGAGAGAGAAGCCCACATTGCGCCTGGCGTATGTACTACTGGGCGACGTGGTAAGTGGGCCTAGAACGGGGAAGACACATACACCAGAGATGAATGGGTGCAATGGTATTGGTTGAATTGGGGTCCATATGAGGTGTGGGTTGCTGATTTGGCTCGACGGTGGGGGAGAATAAGACGATTGCATGTCAGCAGCCCTCATAGTAACAAAGTAAGATCGCTCAAAAGGTGTGACAGTATGTCAAGCTTAGACGATACCCTCCCGTGTGTATTCGAGCCACTTAACCGGTCGCTATTCCGCAATATAAAGGTAAACGGTCTGTTCATTATGCGATTGTACGAAAAATACCCTGGGCAAAGTAGACATACGCTGGCTCTATACCTTGTTCTTTTCTCTGTGTTCTATACGTAATTACTTTCCCAAAATAGACATAAGGTTATGATGTGTTGTATACTTTCTTACTTTCCCAAAATAGACATACGGTTATGATGTGTTCTATACTTTCTTTCTTTCCGGGTATCAAACTGGCGTTCCACTGGGCATCCGTCGACAAGAGCTACCATCGAGAGCCGACCCTGTTTACCCGATGCTATGATAACATTGCGGTCGTTTACCTGCGGGTTTAAACAAATCGCATAAATCGGATAATATATCGAATGAAAATGATGCAAAAATAAGGTGTCAAACGCAGATATATATATATATATATATATATATTATAAATATATATGTATACACACACACACACACACACACACATACACACACACACACACACACACACAC